TCCTTTCTTCCTTTCTTCCTTTCTTCCTTTCTTCCTTTCTTTCTTTCTTTCTTTCTTTCTTTCTTTCTTTCTTTCTTTCTTTCTTTCTTTGTGTGTGTGGCAGAACCAGGGATTGAGCTCAGGCCCTTGCGCTTGCCAGGGAAGCATTTATTCTACTGAGCTATCTCCCCGGCCCCTGTTGTTTCTATTTTTAACTTGTTGATACACCTCTGTTGTGCTTTCCATAATGACTAAACTAATATATGTTTCTTATATTAATTAAGAGAGATCCCCTTTCTGTGCAACCTTATGAATAATTTGTTATATTTTATCTTTTTTGGCAATAGCCTTTGTTTTTTGTTTTGTTTTGTTTTGTTTTGTTTTGCCAGCTCAGCCCACCCTGAGGGCAGGGCTGGTGTGACTTGTGGTACCTGGGATCCCATGGTCTCCTGCGCCTGCCTGAGCTTGCCTAATCAGGTGCTTCAGACCACTGGGCTATCTCACCAGCCCAGTAATAGCCAATCTTAACTAAGGTGAGATGATATCTTATTGTGGTCTTGATTTAAATTAATCTGATGATTAATGTTATTGAGTATTATTTCATATGCATGTTGATCATTTATGTTTTAAGAGATGTCTGTAGAGATATTTTGCTTATATTAAAATTCAGTTATTGGGCCAGTGAGATAGGTCAACAGACTGAGCGCCTGCTTAGGCAAGAGCAGGGACTGGGGTTCAATACCTGGCACCACATGTGGTGCCAGCCCTGCCCCCAGGTGTACTGAGCAGGCTACTGAGACCTGGCATGGTGACACAAACCTGCAATCTCAGCTCTGGGGAGGCTGAAAACAGGAGGATTCTGAGCTACATAGTGAGACCCTGTGCCAAATACATTTAAAAAAAAAAATCAGTTGTTTTCTTGATATTGAGTTGATTTCTTTATTTTTACATATAAACCCCTTCATTAGCGTATAAATTGTAAATATTTTCTCAAGTTCTATAAATTGTGTCTTGTAATTGTTTGCTGTACTGTACAGAAAGGTTTTAGTTGGATATTGTTTTATCTGTATTTGTTGTCTGTACTTTTGAGGTTTTATTAAAACAACTTTTTGCCCAGTGAAATATTATAAAGCTTTCCCTCTTCAGCTTTCTTCTTGTAGTTTCATAGTTTTAGGTCTTACATTTAATTCTTTAATGCATTTTAAACTGATTGCTGATAGAGATGAATGCCCCTTTTCACTCTTCTGCATATGAATATCCATGCAAGCCTTATTCTTTTGTTTCATATTTTCATGAAAGGCAATACCTTATCCTTAGTCTTCTGATTCTACAAGAATTTAAAGAGAAAGTCCTTTTAATAAACTGAAGAATCTTGTTCTCCAGTGTACTTGAAGTCTTCTTAAAAATTTTAACTGTCACACATGATCTGAAAAGTCCTGTAGAATTGTATCTTTCTGATAGATCTCACCACCTCCAAATTATTTTATGTAGCACATTGGAGCTAACAAAAATTGCTTGTCTAAAATATTCATTCTCAGCTAATCTCTTATATTCAATTGATTAGGTATTTCATACAACATTGAGAAAACTTTACTTTCATGACATGTTAAGAAGCATCCTCTTGCTTTTCATTTCATTTTAGTTAGCCAATAATTAACCATGTAAAGAATGTAATCTGAAAGATCATACAGTTTACTTGACTTTTTTTGGAGGCATGACATTCCAAGGAAAGAGTGTTTTTTGTATTTAAGTAGAGTTTCATCAAAGCTGGCTTTCATTTCAGCTCAGCTTAGAGAGTAGTTCTGCAACAGTTTCATGTTTTTAAATAACTAAGCCCTTGTTGTCTGTGCTAACACAAGTAGTTTTGTTCTCTCTGTTGCAGAGAGTGAGTCCTATCCTGTCTGTCTTGCTTAACTAACTCATCTCATTGCTCTTAATAGACTTATTCAATCTTGTGTAGTTCTTTTCTTCCTCTTTTATTCTTTCCTTTCTGAAGATAACTTTCTGGCCTCTTTTGCTTCCAAAAGGAAGAACTTTAATAAGCAGACAGCCATTTCTTGATAAATAGGCTTATCTGGGGCTGATTAATCTACTTCACCTAGTCTTCCATCGTTTTCCAGGACAGTCTCCGTAAGAAGGATGACAGGATTGAAGAACTGGAAGAAGCACTGAGAGAAAGTGTACAGATAACTGCAGAGCGAGAAATGGTGCTGGCACAAGAGGAATCAGCCAGGACCAGTGCTGAGAAACAGGTCTGCAATTTTATAGTTACTAGCAATGCTGCTAGTTAAACACAAGGTAAAAGCCAACCAGTAGAGTTTAGGTTAACTGTTCTGTACTTACAGGGTTTCAGAAATTCTTGATTAAGTGTAAGTATTTGGATTTAAATAATAATGGAAATACAGATGTGCAGGAATTTACTCATCTTAGTGCAGAGATCTCTGCATTACTCATTTAAAGCTGATTTCATTTATATGTACATAGTATAAGTTAATATATTGATAAGATAAAATGGAACTTGTCTGTTTGCTGCAAGACTGCACAAGCTTGGCTTTTGAATTGAATGAGAAAATATATTTCTGACTCAGTGGTGTCAATTTCAAATAGCAAATAATTTATTATTTTACAACCTGTGCACATGAGCAATGATATTAGAACAAGCTAAACTTTAACAGCAAATATAAAGGATATAGATATTGTGGCATTCCAATATACTGATTGCAAATCAGTATATCTCAGCCTGGAAGTTGTTTATGAAGAGTTCTATTGATACTGTCTCTAGAGTTTGTATTATATATTTTCCAATTTCCTGTACCCTTGCTTTTGATTTTTTGATTAAGAAGAATAACTAAAGATAGGCTGTGTAAATGCAGAAACTAGTTTTAACAAGTGACAGCTACATCCACAGCTCACATTCTGAAAGTACAATTTGAGATTTTAAATTCACCTCACACAGAGGTTTATGATCTTTAATTTTTGTAGTGATTATTTCTTTGCCATTTCCTTTTTGGAGAATAGTAAATGCTGTACCGGAAAAACAAAGGAATTCAATGAGTGGTGACAGGATTCTGTTGGGGAACCACCTCCTTGATCCAGTCACTGATGCCACTATGAGTTAAAGTAGTTCTATTTAAACAAGGTTCCATGTCAAGTTGAACATACCATAATACATACCACAGTGAGGCCTTTCATGGCTATGTTACCCACAGTTAATATGGAGGTAGATTGGGAACATAACTACATACTTACCCTTTTTAAAATGTTTCCAATGCCTATGTCTTGATCATACCTATCCTCTATTGCCTGTTGTTATAGCTCACCCTCCTCCCACCTCTCATAGTCTTTGTGGTAGAACTGACTCCAGGAACCTTGAAGTGTAGTGGTGCTGTGAGTACTGATTTCTAATGTAGTTCAGTCTTAAACAGTAAGTCCCTGCCCAGAAGGCTTTGGATTGTGACACTCCCAAGCATGGTGGGTGCTGCCATGACTTTCTTCTCCATCTCTAGCCTGCCATGCAGAAAGTCACTTGGAGAGTAAAACTCCATGTTGTATTTGCGGCATACAGTAACTGTGGGCTTTTCTTAAGGTTTGTGACACCAGTTTGTTGTTTCTCTCTGTGTTTGCAAAGACATGACCTCTCTGGGAACTGGAGTTAACATTCTAGATTTCTGTGTTCTTTCAGTATTGTCTTTAGTTTCTCCAGTTTTGCTGTGACTTGTAGGCTTTGTTTTCCAGGTGTCTTGATTTTTAGTTTCTGAGAAGTTGTTGATATAATCTTGATTTGTATTTCCCTAGTCACTAAAGATACTGAACATTTTTTTCATACACTTTTTGACCATTTGTACTTCTTATTTTTAGAAGTATCTAATTTATCTACAGTATTTATATTGATTGGACTGTTTGATTTTTTAATATTAAGCTGTTTGAGTACTTATACTTTCTGGTATTAATCTAAAGTAAATTAATCAAGAGTATATGACACAGATGTTCTGCCATTCTTGAGGCTTTCACTTCACTGTTTCCTTTGTTGTGCAGAAATGTAATTTGAGGGGCTGGGGAGATAGCTCAGTAGAATAAGTACTTGCCTGGCAAGCACAAGGGTCTGAGTTCAATCCCTGGTTCTGCCAAAAAAA